TCGAGCTCGATCCGGGTCAAAAAGCGCGCGACTCGTTCGAGGACGAGGCCAAACGGTACCATAAGTTGTGATTATTTAACTTCTCTTTAGGGTTCAGACGGAAAATGCGCTTTTGAAGGAATCTTCTGCGGCCCGGGGCGAACAGGTTTATCTTTTATTTACGTCTATACATGCGTTTCCAGAATTCGGCAGCGACCTCTGCCGCGATGTCTCAATTGACCGAGTACTTCCAGCCAAAATGCGGGCTTGCAGAGGGAGATTGAGGCGCTAACCCAAGAGGTATTATAAAATTAATAAATATCGTAAAACTATTATGTTTACAAGACTTCAGTTGCATATTTATAATATATTTAGAAAGATCGCCTACTCAAGGTGGAACAGTCAATCGAACAACGAGAAAAGGAGGCAGCCGTCAAATTGTGCGATATTTTTCGATGTTGAATACTTTTGTTTAGCACCCTGCTATGCGATATGGAAGCTGATTGGGAGCGCGAGAGGGCGAAGTTGAAGAATAAGATTGAAGAATTGGAGAACAAGTAAGTGTTATTCTTGATAATTGCTCCGTTTCGCATGTCGGCAGAAAAGTGGGTTGCTTTTAGACCGGCCGAAGCTGGAGGTCCTACTTTTAGCTACGCTCCGACCGGCAATCCAGACGTAAGTTTGTTTGGTTATGCCTTACCAAAGAATTTTAGGCCGACTTCCTCAACTCGATCATCGCCGATCTCCAGAAGAAGAACGTGAATCTTCAGAAAGAAAATGGAGGATTACGCGAGCTGCTCGGAAAGTCGGTTATTTTGTTTTTGGTGGATTTGTTTTGTTTTGTAAAATTTTTCAAAAGTTTTTTAAAAAAAGTCAAAACCTCTTTTAAATGTCTTTCAGGTACGACGTGGGCGATATTATATCCCCGAAGGCGAAGAAGCAGAAGGCGCCACGGGTGTATTGCGACATCTGCGATGTAAGGATACGAAGTGCTTTTCTATGGGCCTTTTTAGGTGTTTGATGCACACGAATTTGAAGATTGCCCGACGCAGACTTCAATGATCGCTGTCGATGAAATGGGTGGAAGTGGTGCTTGGCCCGGAGGTGAGACTGTTTCCCTTGCTTCAGTGGGGGATGGGTGAGGCTCAAGTTTGGAGAATTACTATGACTATCTCGGGGGTAACGTTTTCGGGTTGGTGACAAATTATTAGGTACTGGATCGTTAACGGGGGGGGCAAAACCAGTTTTATCTGCAATTTTCATAACATATACGCGTATTAACAAATTTGTGGTGTAGTGTTTGCGTCCGTGTGTCCGCCGTTGGTTTCCGATAAACAAGCAGTGTGTTTTTAAAGATATTAAATATTCGCTAGTTTTTGGTCATTTTCTTGGTCCGGAAGTCGGGTTTTATGTATAACTTAAACGTTTATGAATGGATGTTTGTATACTTAAAAAAAACAGCTGGGGAAGAAACAGTTTCTCGAGCCCACTTAAATCCCCCCCCCCCCCGATAACGATCCAGAACCAAAAATTACTTCAAGGTACCTGGGTCTAGAGCTAGAGAGAGAGCTCCATATAGCCAAAAGTAACTACTAACTAACCGTCCCTGTCCCTCCTAGACCTGGTTATCAGCCCGGTACCTCCCCAGCCAACGGCTGAGCTGAAGCCCCGGGTGTATTGTGTGCGGTGTCAAGGGTTTGACCATTTGTCCAGTTCTCTTACAGGCCATTCCTTCCATTTTCAGCCTACGGACATAGCCAGGGCATCGACTGCAAGCCGTTCGCCTCGCCCAAGACCCCGAAGAGCGACTACACCTTCTAAACGGCCAGAATTTTTTTTATCGATCCTCGCCCTCAACTCCTTTATGAAAATAGTTTTTGAAATTTCCTGTGTCTCGTCTTACCTTGCATGATGTCTTCGTTTTAATTTACTTCTCGAGATTAATATTCATTATACAAAATAATACACTAAAATTTACGAGTCCCCGTCCCGCCGTGTCCCTGTAACTTGCAATTCTACCTCGGGTTATTATTGCGCCCCCAATAAGCGTTGTGTCTCTTCCTTGCTCAAGTAATTCGCTTCAATGTGCCTTCGTTTTTAGATGTGATAGTCAATGTAATGTAATGTAATAAAAGATGATTTTATGGCTGCTGCAGGAGCCTTAAAATGTTAGAAACTACCCGTAGTGAGAATGGGAAAGTCATCATAACTGTGGCTGAATTAGGCCTGTCCCCAAGGGTCAAAATCGTCAATGTTTTTCGGTGTTTCGGCGTTGAGTCTGGGCGTCGAGTCACGGGTTATGGGACGCTTCTTGGCCCGGATGTTCTGAAAAAGCCATCTAATTTTGTCGCACTCAATGACAAAAGTGTCGGAAACGTGATTTTCGAAACTATGACTTCCAAAAAAGGTTTTTGGAATATATAACTGCGAAATCTATATTGGGTTGGAACGTAAGTCTCTGCGTATTTTCAAGCTCAATTTTCGCGCCGAAATCCAAACTTTTATGTTAAGTCCTATACATCATTCGAAAGAGGATTTTTTGCTCTACAATGCTGCTATAGTCGCTTATTTTATAACCGTGAACTTCGCATGTGTTTCGGGGAACGAAGTGTCGACAAAAATGACCCTCGAAGGCTTGACGACCGCACCAAGCAGAATTTTTCTTTACCATAATTACCAAATTCAATTTAATTCATTATGCACTCGCCCAAGCGGAATACAAGTTCATGCCAAAGATTAACAAGTTTATGGATTCCCTTCCGCTAAACCCGGGCTCAAATTATCGCACAAGGCGGGTAGTTCTTCTTAGTTTATGCCTCTCCATGAAAATTTCGAGATAGCTCTGTTTTATTTTGGACAATATAGATTCTTCTAAATAGGCAGAAAAGTCGAGCATAACGCTTGGGATGTTTTAAATCCCTGTTTTTCACGCAGAAATTAGCAAGTGGAGGCAGAGCGCATTTCGGTAAATTTTGCGATCTGCCAAAAACTACTGAAAAGCTACTTCAAAGATAAACTAATTACATGAAAAAGAAGAAGAATAAAAGCTCTTTCGAAGTGCAATAAGTTGCCTGTACAATTACTTAGCTATCGAGCTCAAAATCGAGAAGATCTCAAAAGGAAACCGGCGATTTTATTCCTAACCCATTAATTCCGGAGCAAAGTAAACGTAGAAATATAAACAAATGTCTGTGCCTGATAGAGAAAAGAAAGCTCTTCCGAATGATATATCACACTTGCTCCAAAATGCTCTGGGAAGAGAAGCAGCGAGTTTTGAAAAAAGCGCAGAGACTTACGTTCCAACCCAATAATATGTAAAAAAGTGATAAACCTCGAACTCTTCCTGTTCTGCTCCAAGCTCCATGGAATCGGCGGACTGGTCGGCTCTTCGATTATTTTCTGAACTTGTGGATGAGCCCTAAAGATTTCCACCATAGTTTGCCAAGTCAGCGAGACAGGCGTGGCTCAACGTGAGTGGGATACGCTGGCTCTTCAATGGTCTGAGATATTGTTTGAATTATTGCTTTATAAGAAAAGCTAACTCAAGCTTTTAAAGCCACGGTCGCTTTTACACACCTTTTCAGCAGGTTCATTCAGCAAATCCCCATCGAAAACTTCTCCATCCACCTCGGGCAGCACGTTCACCTATAATTTAGTAGATTTTTAGGTTCTTCCAGGGTTTCCGTGGGCCAAACCAAATTTTTCAGCCCAGTAGCCTAAATTTTCCTAAATAGCGCATGCGTTTTCTAAATGGTTTTTAACTATTCCTGAGCATAAAACTACCCACATTTTAATTAAAAAAGAATTTAATTTTGGATCGAAAAATCCTATAGAGCCTTTACCCGGATTACCGGGGGAGACCCAAAATGACCAATTTTTCGACATTTTCCAAACATTTTTTAACTTTTTGAAAGGTTTTCTACTTTAAATATAATTTAAAATTTACTAAATGCGATGTCAAAACAGGTTTTATATTTGATTACTAGGTCAACCAGGAAAACCAGGAAAAATTTGGTTCCCC